TCCCAACAAAATGCTGGTCTCAGGCACACACTTTCCAACAAACTCAATTAGTTCCTCGTCAGTGGACTTACTTTTAAAGAAATTCTAAAAGAAGGTCTTCAGGAAGAAGGAAAACGGTCCCAGATGGACAGAAGAGCTACAGGAAGAGGTGAAAGGCAGGGAAAGTAGTAACTATGTGGAGAAGCCTAAGTGAACGTTGACTTTATAGAACTACAACAGTAACATTTTATGGAGTCGGAAAAACAACAAAAAAATATACAACAACAATAGCATGTAAATGGGGGGTGCTAAGTAGTCCTGTATTGTCTGGGAAGGGGGAAAGTCTGAGAAAAATTAGATTGTCCTTAAGTCAAGTCAATGCATATTGTGTTTTCCCAGGGAACTATTAACAGAACAGAAAAAAAAGAATAAAAAAAACCTTTCAAACTTCTAGAAAAAGACAAAAACTGAATTATATAAAACAGTCAATCCAAAAGAAAGCAAGAGAGAGAGAAAAAAATAAACCAGGAAGGAAAAGAGAGCAGCTTAAGTATAAATAGACCAATAATTACATTAAATATAAACAGGCTAATGGTGACAGCTAAAAGGCAGAGAAACTAGATTAAGAAAAAATCAACTCTGCTATTTACAACAAACACCTCTGGTACAGAAAGATTGAAAACAAAAGGACTGAAAAAGGTTATTCCGTGTAAATACCAACCAAAGGTGAGCTAGAGTAGGCATGTTAGTATTAGGTAAAAAGCAGTTATAGAGATATAGAGGGCCAGTTTATAATGACAACAGGACATTTCTCAAGATCTATTATACACTTTAATCTAATAATACTGTCTCAAAATATATTAAAAAAAGTTTTATATAACTAAAAGGAGAAATTTAGACAAATCTATCATCATAGGCTTGTATTTTAAAATATCTCTCTGCAACTGATAAACCAAAGTAGACAAAAATATCGCTAAAAATGACAAAATTTTACAAACCTGACCTGATGTGCATGTATAAAATACTGTACTCCACTACTGGAGAACAGACGTGATTCTCAAGCACACACAGAACAGTTGCAAAAACTGACCATAAAGTCTTGGTAAGTTTCACAGGACAGAGAACACCACGTATGTGCTCTCTGATCATAACACTTTCTGTTAGAAATCAGTCTCCAAAAGACAACCAGGAAATCTGTATTTGCTCAGAAATTAAGAAATGAATTTCTAAATAATCCATGGGTCAAAAAATAATACCTGAAATTAGAAAACACTTTAAATGGATGATAACAAAAATAATACATACTACATTCCATGCAGTGGAGCCCCCTAGATACACAGAAAGGAATGTTAAGCTGGAAAGCAATAACTCTAAGTAAACGGACACACATACCGTGCGCATGAGTTGGAAGACTCAGTATTGTTTAGACGTCACTTCTCATTAAATTGATTTTAGACAATGCAATTTCAACAAACAGCTCGATGCGTGAGGACTTTAACTTGTTTTAGTTGGTGGTGATTTCACGTCTGCACATGTGTGTATGTACACGTGTGTGCACATAAGCACAGTGTGAATGTGTAGAATTTGACTGGCTGGTTCTAAAAACTTTTATGGGGAAATACAAACCACCAAAAATAGCCATAACACTTATAAAAAAGAAGGAATAAGCTGGAAGGACTCACTCGACTGATATCAAGACACCTTAGTAAGTGTCTTGTGTGACGGTACCGAAGATGGTGGTACTGGTACAGGGACAGAGATCAATGGAAAAGAAAACAGCCCAAACACAGACAAGTACACATCCACACACCTGACTTACGGTGGAAGCGGCACTACAGGGGGCACGTGGGTTCTTTTCAGTAACTGGGTTGGGGCAACCATGTGCCCATGTGGGAAAACGTAGAGATAGACCCCTAATTCACACCACATGCAAACATCAACTCCTAGTAAATCACAGGCCTAAATATGAGATGCAAAAATATAAAATATTCAGAAGGTAATACAGATTTTCATGATGACCTGAGGGCATGAAAACATTTCTTTAACAAGATATGAACTCAAAAAACTAACCATAAAGAAAAAGTGATAAATTTGACTACAAGTTCTGTTAATCAAAAGAAACTACAAAGAGAATGACAAGGTAAGTCATAGGGTGAGGGAAAAAAATACCAGCAACACATGTAGCCGACAAAGAAAGTCTACCTAGAATATATAAAGATCTCTTTTAAATAAACTATAAAAAGGTAACCCATGAAGAAATGGGCAAAAGGTTTTGACCAAGCACATCTCTCTCTCTCTCTCTCACACACACACACACACACACAAAAACACACAATCCAAACGGCAAGTAAACACTTGAGAAGATGCTCAGCCTCATCGGTCACGCAGGCAACGGTACACAGGACCTTAACTGCAGTGGGAGCGTGACGTCGCGGGGAGCGGCAGCGGTGGACAAGAGCGAAACCCCAGCGTCACGACAGAGCAAACAGATAGCGTCGAAGTGTGCTATAGCAAGCAAGAGCGGCAGAGCACGTCGCTCAGCTACACAGAAGCAGCGGCCGGGAGGGGGAGCTGGGACAGTGAACTGCTGTGGGTGGGGGGTGGGGCCAGAGGTCGCACCCCCCCCACTCCATACCTGTTGGCACGAAAAAGAAAACCCAATATAGATTTACAGACTTACTACTTTGATGAGTAAAAAAATATTAGGAAAGGAAAAACTCTAAGAATAGGGGGTGGGGGAAGGTGAGCGGGCGGTATGGAGGCAAGATCAGGGAAATCACATAACTCTTGGGACAACTTGCCCGAGAGCAGAGCGGAGCAAGGGCACAGACTTCACTCTGTGATCCCACTGCAGCCCCACCTGCTCTGGCCACTAGGAGGGCCAGGTTTTAGCTTATGGCTCACACCTAAAAACAGAATCCCTCGGCTACAATAGTGCTTCTTCATTTCTGACCATTCAACCATCATCCTCCCTTTGCTCTGCTATTTTAGTATATATCTCCTATCTTATTAAGCAGAGTTTATAAGTCTTTAAAATCTGGTAGGCTCTAATAAACAAAACTTCAGAGTTACTAAATATACATAACACTAAATAGGGAATATTCTGCCTCTTTTTGACAACTATAAAAGATTCTGCGATCCTGCAATGCTTCATTAATTATCATTTGAAAAACCAGTTAGCTATAGTCATATAAAATTTTCAATGTATAATTTCAAGTAACTTCACTCCGTGAATTGGTGACTGGGGTTTCTCTGTGTGTGTTCTGTCCCCTCCCAATGACTCACGGGAGACAGTTTAGGAAAGTGGCTAAAATTGGGCACACACCACATTTAAATTCTGGGTTTGACTTTTAAGGCAAGTCATTAAGGCTCCCTCGGTTTACCTTCTCCTCTGCTAATGAAGATGAGGATGGTGACAGCACCCACTTCACAGCGCTGTCGGGATTAAGCAACGCGTGCACAGTGTGCGACACACAGCAAGGGCTCAACAGACGCTCCTGAAAGAAGTGAAGGAGCAAGTACGGGGCAAGGAGGGTGCCAGCGAAGACTCCGCGAGCGGGAACCACACGCAGCGCATCTGCAGAGCCACGGCACGCTGCGTGCGGAGCCTTTTAATCTTTCGGTCTTTGCTAAAAGCCAAAGATTAGTGATGGAAGCCTCTTCTCACTAGAAGGTCAATTCAGGGATACAGAGGTAAGACTGGGTGCATTTCTTTGTTGGTAATAAATCATCTTTTCATCAAGAAATGCAACACCTGCAGTCACACCTGAACGTTCTTTTACTGCTTTCCTGTGACGGAAAGCTTTCTTCTTTCCTTTTTCCCTTCCTTCTTTTGGGGCGAAAAAATGTCAAAACTCTCTAATGAGCACAGCCTGCAGTGCCTGGTTATGACGCAGTGCGGCGAACCAACCGCTGCACCTTCGAGGAACGTCTTCTGAGGCTGTTGGCTTATTTTTCCCTGATTGTGCTGATGAGCTATCAGACACTTAAAAACAGATTTTCTATTGCTGATCAGACAAATGGCAGCATCTCTAGCACAAACAATAAGCAGTTCTCAATCTACTTACTTTGAAGCACATGATTTTCATCAGCTGCTTTTCTCTTCTTGACAGAAACCACAGTGAGCATTTTTTAAAATAAAATCCCCATCCTTGGTCTCCTAGGCCCTAGCCCGGGCTCCTCACTGTCCCCCACAGGGCTGCAGCCTCCCCGTCCTTGCAGCTGCCTCACTCACCCCTCCCCGGCATGTGATCAGCACAAGGGCTGCAGCAGCCGGGTCAAGGGACAGGGCTGCGTCTGGTTCTCACTAGGGAAGCTCTTGAAATTAAACAGATTATCTCTAGAACCTAAACAGCCTGTCTCCGGTCCTGGCTGCCGGTCACCGTACTAGATCAGTTTCCCACAGTCCGACTCCCTGGAGAAGCCGTAAAGCATGACAAGTTCCCTGGAGAACAGCCTCCAGAAGGGTGGTCAGGCCAGGAAGGGCAAGAGCCAGAGTCCCCAGCTTCAGTAAGAGGGTCACAGGACAGTGCCCAGCAGAAACAAGAACTCAGGGCCATGGAAACGCTCCCCTATCCCTGAGGTCCCTAGTCTCCTCATGCCTCTGCCTCCAAACTACTGTTAAAATCGTTCTTCCCAAGGACTGGATACTTTGAATCTCTATAGAAAAAAATATAAACTTCACATTTACTCCAAGGAACACACACAGTTTGGAAAGGTGACATCAGTGACATGCTGCGTGCACGTGCCATGAATGAGCTGTGCCTCAGGGTTTTAAAGCGCCTTTTAGCGGAATGCTGGGTTAGATGTCCTGTCCACCCTGAAAATGTTTGCTTCCTACACTGCACAGGTTGCAGGAGAGATATTCTGGCTCTCTAGCTTTGAGAAGGTGGCTTCCTTCTTGGGAACAAGCAAACAGGAGAGCCAGCCAGCTACCCGCTGAGTGAACACCAGGAAAGGGGCTTGTTCTGCTGAGGCCCCCGAGTGTGAACTAGTGCTCAGAAGTTCCCACACAAGGATACAGGGGTTACTGTCATCCATGCTGCAGCTGTCCAGGATCAGGGGAATGCCATCCAGCTCGTTCACCTAGAAAGAACGGAGAGGACAAATTTATACACTGAGACAGAATGGGAAGGGCTGGACGTTACAGATTCGTTTTTCCCTCTTAATTTTTCTACTCACTGCTGTAATAATATTGTCTATGCAATTATCTGAAACACCTGTATCAATCCAGAAATATTTAAAAACAGACGTGTAAACAAAAAGTGGTATTTTATGTTTCTTTTCACCCTTCCTCAGTATCATCCTGGACAGCCATATAGAACAGGATAAAACTGAATTCCTTCCTAATTTTGTTCACCTGGATAAACTCCAAATGAATCTCACTTTACTAGTAAGTGAATTCTTTTTCTAATTCAGAAGTAGGGAAAATGCTTTCAACTATGTTTCAAAACCCAGAAGCAATAGGGAAAGGTTTTAAAAATTGGCTACATTTTTAAAAAAGGCAAATGAAAACTGTAAAAAATGATTTGTAAGCTATCACAGGCAAAGGGTTAGTATTTTAATATACAAAGAACTTGTAAAAGTTGAGAAAAGACCAACAATCCAATAGAAAAATAGATGAAACACATAAACATAAATGGCGCAGAAAAAAAAAAAATGCAGATGGACTGCGGAGACACCGGAATCTGCTCGATCTGCCCCTAATAAGATAAAGGCCAACGGTTACTACACTGAGACACCGTCTGCCACCTGCCAGAACAGCAGCTCACCAAGCGTGACAACACGTGCTGCTGGGGAGGGGACCAGAAACGCGCCCTCAGACACTGCTGGAGGGAACGCGAACGGGTACCGCCCCCAGAAGGGACCGGGCAGCATCTGGCAAACTCACACACGTTAGCGCCTCTTTGACCCAGTAATCCCATTTCTAGGGTTGGTGATCAAAAATACGTTGTCACGTGAAATTATGTTTGACACAAGGTTATTTACTGCTGCCCAGTTTATATATTTTTATAACAGTTTTATTGAGATATAATTCACACACCACAAAACTCACCCTTTTACAGAGTACAATTCAGTGGATTTTGGTCTATTCACGATGCTGTGTAACTATCACTGCTAAGTTTAGGACGTTTTCATTACCCCCCAAAGAAACGCCATTCCTATCAGCAGTCACTCCTCATCTCTTCTTCTCTCCAATCCTCATAACTACGCATCTACCTTCTCTATGGGTTTGCCTATTCTGGGCGTTGCACATACATGGAATCATTCAACTTGTGGTCCTCTGTTGACTGGCGTCTCTCACTTAGCGTGATGCTTCCAAGGCTCATCCTTGAAGATGGTACCAGCACTCCCTTCCTCTTTATGGCTGAATAATATTCCATTGTCTGGATATTATATTTTATTTTCCATTCATCCGTGGATGCACACTTGAGTTGTTTCAAATGTTTGGCTATTATGACCATTAGTGTTAACAAAGCTGCTAGAATCATTTGTGTACATATTTTTGAATGGATATACGTATTCAATTCTCTTGGCTACCTACCAAGGAGTGGAACTGTTTACTCCTATGGTAACTCTATGTTTAACATTCTGAGGAACTGCTTGACTGTTCTTCAGAGTGGCTGGCCCATTTTACATTCCACCAGCAACGTATGAGTGTTCCAATTTCTCTACATCCTTGTTAACACTTGTTATTGTCTGCTTTTTATTTTAGACACCCTAGTGGGTGTGACGTGTTCTGTCACTGTGGTTTTGATTTGCACGGCTCTGATGATTAACAATGCTGAATGTAGCACAGTTTATAACAAAGATCCTGTGGACAACTCCAAAACCCATCAAGAGGCTGGGTGAATAAGCCACGGCATGTCTGTAGAAGACTTCTCTTGTAGCTGTGAAAACGAACGGAGAACATCACTGATGTGCTGCTGTGCAGAGACCATGAGGATATAGTGCTAAGTGAAAACAACAGAGTGCGGAACAGGCTGATATGTGAACCTTTTGTGTAGTAAAGGAGAAACAGATGAGTTTTTAATATTGGTTAAATCAAAAATGAATCATGGTTAAAGAGCAAAGCAGAGGATGAAGTGGACGAAACCGGAATGGAGGCTGGGCCTCTGTGAATGTACCTGGTCACACAATTCTGACTCTGGAATCCTGTGCATGTTTTATAACATTTTTAAAAAGTAAGTTTCTAATGCATGCCAACTAGACTTACTGTGGTGATAATTTCACCATATATACAAATGCTGAATCATTACGTTACCTGAAATGAACATTATGGTGTATGTCAATTATGCCTCAATTTTGAGGAATTAAATTTATAAAGGTATAAAAACAGAAGAAAGCAAATTAATCTGATGACACATGAAACAGACAGATTATTTCCCAGAACTGAACCAGTTTTCTGACGTGACACCCCAGTGAGATGCGCCCAGAACGCGGTCTCACAGCGGCACGTGGTGGTCTCAGCACCGCGACGCTGGGATTGCCATGCTGAACCCTTGTTTAGAGACTTGGTTTAAAACAAATGGGTAATTAATGTTATTAGGAGCCAAGATTTTTTAGCATAAAAAAGAAGTAACAAAACAGTTAATTTTACATCTAAATCAGAAGTATTAGCAAGAACTCATGATCTGTTTTTTCTCTTCCTAAAAAATATTTATTTCCTGTTTACTGTAAAGGCCTAGATGCAAAGACAAGCCAGTAGCAATGGACATTCTCAGCATAAGACTAATGATTCTAAACACCACATCCGGCTGAAAGAACTCGGACCTCCAGCTGGTTGTGACACATAGACTTGCTGAAGGCAGGAAAGGAGAGAAGACATATAGTTCCCGTACGCTGCCCTAGGCAGCGGAGGGTGGTGAATGAACCACTCACTACTTACTAGACACCCAGTATCTACCAGGCCGCGACAGACACTGGAATGACTTCATTCAATTCTGACAATGCCAGGGTAAGTATCACAGGTAAGGACAATGAGGCTCAAAAATTAGGAACCCTCCCTGTGGTTTCTTAAGTGCTATTCAAAGTGAGCTCTGCAGAGCACTGTCAGTCTGCAAGGACAGCGTGGGAAAGGGTGAGACACTGCCAGCAATCTGAGTCACACTTTGTCTGTTGAATCTTATGATAAAATTTGCTTGAATTTTCTATGTCTTAAAAAAAAATTTAGTTTTCCAGTAATTCATCTGTATTATCTTTTATAAACATACTAATTCAGGATGGTTTTGGGGGAAAGATACTAAGCCCTTCAGCGCGGGCGGTCTGAGCAGCACTGGCGTGAAGTGTCAGACCACTGCAGAGGGTGGCCTCACAGGGACAAGTACAGGGGGAGGTTTCACGGCCAGGCTGGTAGTGGCCCCACCTGGGACCGGAGCCACAGTTTCTCAATGCAGCCCTCATGCCCCGCTTGTCCAAACATCTGCCATGCACCTCCCTACAGCATGGGGGCGCTACCGAGCAAGTCTCCAAATGGGAAAGGAGAGCCAGGGTGAAGAGGAGACCCAGGAAAGGAGCCAGGGCCTGGGGGTGGCACGGAGAGGAAGGACTATCAACCAAGCCTCTCTGGCTCCTGGCGAACGAATGACCCAAACCTGCCAGGAACACGGGCACATCTCCACGCCAGGTGACCTTAGTGTCTGGTGTCGCCAGGGGACCACATAGCCTGGGGCTCCCAGGGAAGGCCTCCCTGCAGAAGTGACATTAAGCCTGAGGTGAGAAGGATGAACAGGAAGGAGGTAAATACACAAATACACAGGGCTGTGGGGAGGGTCTGGGTCAGGGGGAGGAGATGCGAAAGCCGGGGGGTCAGCAGCTACAGGCGGTGTTCCAAGGGCTGGAGGCACACAGCAAGGCACCAAGAGCGAGGCCCATGGAGCCAGGGCACGGGGGCCGGGTCCGGTTCTGTAGCACTTCTGAGCCGCGCGGCTTTGGGCAAGTCTCTTAACCTCTCGGACTTAAGTTTTCTCGCCTATAAAACGGGCACAGTAGGGCCTGCTTCAAAGAGTGACTGTGGGAACGGAACGGACCACTGCGCTGACGAGCACCCCGCAGACACTCGATGAAGGGCAGCGAGGGTGAGGGCACAGTCGGTGACACTCACGTCGCCTGGAGCGAGTTCGGCGTGGCTCCTGAAAGCATGAGGAGGCCTGGGGGAGGACGTTCACGACGCTGCCACAATTCCACTTTGTGTTAGGCAAAGTAGCAAAGTCGTAAATTTATTTTCAAAAACCAGGTTTTTTTGGTAAGTGAGAAATAAGGTATTCAGGACCTATTATTCAATGCAAGAAAACGTCTCATTTTCCTGGGGATGGGGGTGTAGAATTCCCAGATAGAGTCAATGCGTAAGATTTTCTTTCAAGGAAATAAGATCACACACTAGTTGGGCTCTGCACTGGAATTTGACACAACCTTGTAAAATGACTATAACTCAATAAAAGAAGTTTTAAAAAAATTAAAAAATAAAAATTAAAAAAATAAAATAAAATGGCCTCAGGACGTGATGACTGTGCCAAGATTTGCACTAAACATACTGAAGTTTGGGGGGATTATTTATTATCACTTTAACTAATAATCCAGTTTGTTTTTACCAAAAATATAAAATAAATAAAATCACATGCTAAAAACTGAAATTTAAGCAGGCAGCGAGGGGGAATTAAAGAGTGCTTGAAAATCACGGCTGTACTGGGGTCCCGCCTGAATGCTCTCCCAGATAAGTATTTCTCATGCACGCTATGAAATGACACAAGATAATTTGCTATAGAAATCATTAAGTGTCTGTAACATAAAGGACCCATTCTGGACAGCGGCATGATGACAAACTCGCCATTATACACTGAAGACTGGACACAGGTTAAAATCACTGGGAAAAGAATCCAGGGGTGGGACGCCCTCAGGGGTGCCGGCCGGGACGCCGGGCGTCACCAAGCTCAAGTCCACCACGGCAGCCGCGTGCGGCGCTCATGTCCGTGGCCGGGGAAATGACTGGGAAGTTAACAGGTTTCCTTCTGTTCGCACTTCATAAAACAAGGAGGTTGTTTGTTTTTTCCCCTAACGTGCTGGGAACTGATTCTAGACCTGTAACA